CTTCAGTGAGGAATGGGGAGGAAAAAAAAAAAAGAACAATCCCCAGAAAACTTTCTAAGAATTGGTACGTTTATCTATTTCACACATTGAATCATATTGTCAATTATTCCATAAATACCTTTAAAACATCTCTCATATTTTGATGAACCCCTTCATGTTTTTTACATATCCAGTCATTTAACACAGTTCCCAACATCAGTCACTCACTATTTCAGGTTTGAGGGGGTTTTTTTGAAGCAGGAGGGGTATTTTTTAAACCATTTTGAGATGGTGAAGCCTGCCTTTAGATATTTGGATCTAATTTTGTTAAATTCTCAGTGAATCATCATAAGGAAAAATCTGTCTGGTTATTTCCCAGATAAAAACCACCCACTTTCATTGGAGATGGAGTATCTTACACAGAGATTCAACCCACAGGCGTAGCTTACAAACCACAAAATGCAACCCTTCATAGAGGGCTACATATGGAGGGCCAGAAAGCCTTGTATATCACAGAAGTACCAGTTAACTTTTTAGCCACCAGCGCGCTTGTAACAAATGTGGGTAGAGCCCTCCCCAAATCTTCGTGCGCGAAGCCTAGCCATGATGATGACCAGTTAACACTTTAACATACCAGGTAAGTGTATGGTGGCCAGAATATCATTATTAAAGTGTAATACCTAATAAAATAACACACTGTAAACAGAGTCTTCCAGGAAGAACTACTGTATCTTTTCCATTCACCATTTTTCTAATGAAATATTGCTGTTGGTCCATTACACACGTCAATCTAAACAGGACATAAAAACAGTGCTTAGAGAGGAATTTCAAGGAATACTTCAAAAGTGCAATGACCAGATGGCTTAAGACTAATTAGAGAGCTTCTTCCCTGGAGAAGTAGCCAATTTTTTTTGAGATCTTTCTTCCAACCAAAGAGATGCAAACAAAAAACAGAGAAGATTCACAATATTTTTTATCTTCTTCAGGAAAAAGAAAACTCATAATTGCCTTAAACACTGTTTCAAGGGGGGGAAAAAGAGTTGTTAAATTCCTGTTACATACACACTACAGGATGACCACTCTTTCTGCAACAGTTGATCACAAATAGGTTTCATAGCATTATTTTCTAAGGGCTCACAGAGGTTTCCTTAACCTCCGCCAACAAGTTTTTGCAATAACGCACTCCAAACTCCTCCTTGGAGGACAATTACTCCAATTCTTAACAGAGGCAAAATATGTAATTCCCACAACCCACCACTAAGGTATCATATCAAAACACTACAGAGGTGTCTCATGACATCAACAAATAAGCCGTAACTACTTAAAAGGTAGTACTGTACCATAAAAATGCGTAAGTTATTGTTTAATCTAGGTGAAGACAGGTCAAAATAGCAATCCTAGAAGAGTGATTATCTTTCAGTTGGCAGCTGCTTCTTACCACATTTATAGCAAAAATCTGTTAAAAACCCATTTTTTTACTTGGAAACTTGAACATCCTTTTAAAGAGGAAAAGCTGTCCCAGTCTGAGGCCATATACCTCAATTAAACAAACTGTACTAGAATCTGGTGATTCTAGAGTACTAGCCTCTTCCATTCCAAAACTGTTTGGATTAACAACTGCAATCACTTTATTATCTCAAAATCTGTACTCTCCAAAATATCTCTGCTGATGTACAAGGAAACATAAAAATTAAGACTGAGACATCCGATGGCCTTTCTTGATTATCTAATTACTATGCTGGAGAGCCAGCTTCTACATTTTCATACAGCAGTGCTCTGACCTTAAACCATGAAGACATAAAGGGACAACAGAAAGACAGTACTAGTAACAGTGAGAAAACAGAAAAAAAAAAAAAAAACTATGAGCAGCAAAATCAGTTTCATCTGGGGGATGATGATCAGGGATCATCAAAAGCCCCTCAGACAGCATGGCCCGTGGCAGACTGGTCAGCTACCAGGCTAATAGGGCTGGGAACTTTTTCCTGGCTCAGATGCTGACCTGTTGTACAACCTTGAAGTCACTCAACTTCTTTGCATCTCAGCTTCCCCACTTGGAGTCAATCCTTTCCTTTCCCTAACAAGCTCTTTGAAATCCACAGAGAAAGTATCCCAAAACTGCACTCAAAGTCTTAGTCTTGTATCACCTTTTCTCATTGTTTTAATACGAAGCACAATTTGAAGCCCATTGTAGTATGAAGAATTTGTTAATAAAACTGTAAGTAAAAAAATTCATATTTTGATGTGGATAGCTGCTGTCAAGCATAGCAAACCAGAAATAACTACTACACAAGCTAAGCAATGCATCTTCAAAACTCTACAGCAGTTTGGAGACAAGTATCTACTTCATGACATATTTTGGATTCACTGAAGAAACAAACTTGCCCAGGACTCCTACAGGCACAGAGCTCAGTCTTCCACCCTTCAAAGCAAATAAAAATATATCCACTAATATCCAGCAAGTACATAGATAGTAAATAGCTATTGAGCTGTGGGTTTTATTTCTAGCATACATGCATCTGCTTTGGAAAAAAGAAGGGAACAAAGTTGCTCCTATAACTATTTAAAAACTCTGCTCCTGTAATAGTTCAAGATTTGTGTTGTCTGTGTAGCTGTAAATGAAATTAAAAGTGAAAAAGACAAAAGAAAGATCACATTCGGAATCTGAAGTTCTAAGGAAACCTTTGTTTTAAAATAAAATACATAAGAACATTTACAATCTACACACTGGTGCCAAAGTTGAAATTCCAATTAAAAAAAAAAATTAAAAATAAAAGACTCTGCATTTAGATGTGTATGTGTTAACAAAAGAATTATAATAAAACATTCATATTTCAAGGTTAAAGTGCCAAATGACGGAACATGACAAAATTTATGTCCTGTTTTACTAAGAAATAATAATGTAATTTCTGTGGAAATTTGTAGAATAAAAAACAAACAAGCGTTCCCTGAGCAGTTTAAAATGACAGAAGCCAGGACTGAGTTGAAAAAGCCAGTTCTGCCCTCCTTCACCTGTGAAGTGGACTAGGGCACTGATCCAGCTGAAGACTGACCCAGTAAGGCAAACCAGTGGTTACCCTTCAGCTGGACATGTGCTGCTCTTCACGCACAGCTGCACAAACACTTTTGCAAGTACAAAAGCAAAGAAGAACACAATGGTGGAAATCACTGACTAGGAGAGAGCTATGCAGTTCCTCTCTTTAGGTTTTCAAAGGCTCATGGAGCTACAGCGCTGGGGTGTGGCCTCACATTATACAACTTTAATCTTGGGGAAAAAAGCAGGAAAAAAAAATACAGGCTGCTACAAAAAGGGAGATTCTCCTTTCCCTAAGGTTCCCTGCTGTCCAGTGCCAGTGCCTATGCCAAAACGTTAACAAACTACTACTTTTCCTGTCAGATCCTCATACTGTTCTGAGGCCATGACTCTTTGTGGTTGGATCCAAGACAGAGAAGCAGCAGGTGGAAGGGATGAAATATTTAGCATTATACCACATTCAGATCACAGTAAGAACGGCAGAAAAGCACACTCTCATGTTAAACTAGACAGTTCCCAACACTGGAAGTCACACATTCTTGAAAAGAAGTCACATCTTCAGACCCTTTCTTTCCCATGGGACAGTAATTTTTATTGGACACTGTACAAACACTTCACTTTCAGGCTTTAGCCTTTAAACTAGCCAGAGGACTATCTTTACAGATTACTTTTTAACATACTTCTTCTGCAACTGCATATTTACTGGCACCAAAAGCATATAGGCAAGCATAACACACATACCCACATCTGTGCATCTAAAGGCAAGGTTTTTCAGAAGTGTCTAAACTTAGACTTCATAGACCCTACACAAGTACTGAATTCCAGCGTCACAGTGATTTGCTTACTCCTCTGTGCTAAGCATGGATTTGCCATGGATGAGCCTATTTGCAAGCAGTTGATTCAGCAAAGCTTGAAAATTCTCAGTACATGCAGACCTGGTAATAACCCAGATTACAGTTAAAAATACATTGATAAATGTAAACTCCCTCCCTCCCTACCCTCCCTCATATTTTCCTTTCCCCAGTTGCTTCACCAAACTTTAATCATATAAGCAAAAACATACAGACATACAGACTTTTATTCTTCGGAAGTCTTAGGTAAAATTGATAAATATGATTCCAATATATAGTTGGAAAGATTCCTTTCCAACAATAAATTTTGGAAGAACTGATTTCTTTCATTTTCTTTTTCTTTTTTTTTTCTCATCCAACACTGAAACGACGTTCTTACGTCGCTAATAAAATCCAGTTACCGACATTTCGAACAAGGGCTCCGAGTGTCTCAGACATACGATTTACTGTCATCAGGCTTAACCAGACAGGACCAAGTTAAGGGCCTTTAGAAAAATCTCAGTTTTCACATGCTCTGTCAGGGCTCATTAGCGCTTGGCAGATGACTACTTTGAAGAGTTCATCAGCGCCGAGCGCGCTGTAGCAAAGCCAGAGCTTTTCCCACCGGTCGGGAAACGGGACAGCGGCATAGGGACGCGGCTGGACCTTCATCCCTTCCGCTCGGGAGCTGCTGCCCGCCCCCGAGGGCGGCTCCCGCTCCGCTCCGCTGCCTCCGGTCTCTCCCGGTAGAGAGCGCGGCAGGCACGGCAGGGAGCCCAGGGCAGAGGGAGCGGGGAGTGACTCAACCTGGGCGCGCAACAGCCGCCTCTGCCTTCTTTTCTTGGTAGCAAGTACAGAACAATACCTGTGGTGGCGAGCTTCCCGAGTGCCGCGGGGTGGTCGGCACCTGCTCGCTTAAATGAGTATCTCGATGTAAAAGCCCCCCAAAAGCCACGTCGTGCCCCACCGGCACGCGTCACCCCAATTCATCTGTCCGTAAGGAAAGTTACGACGTTACTTTTTCGGCCCTCGAAACCCCGTTTTCCCACCGCCGCACCCTTCCCGGCTCCCGAAGCGCAGTCGGTAGGCAGCCCCCGAACGGGAGCCCTGCCCAGGAGGCTCCACCGCACTGCATTCTGCAGCACCGCCGGCGTCCTCACCTTGATGCCCTGCTGCTGCGTGGTCAGGGTCAGCTTGGACTCGTCCAGGAGCAAAACTTCGCAGTAAAATTCCTCCGGGACCGCGCAGAAACAGCCCATGCCTGCTGCGGTGGCCGGGGGGGATGGGGCGGGGAGGCGAGGAGAACCCTGGAGCGGCGACGGAGCGGGGCTGAGACGGGTCTGGGCCGCGCTCGGCTCCGCCGATTGAGCCCGGCGGCTCCTTAGGGCGCAGAACCCGGCCCCGCCGCCATCCAGCCTGGACAGGGGGTGCCGGGCGCTCCCTGTGGAAAAGACCGGCGGCTTGTTTTAGGAAGGATCCCAGGGCACAGCCCGCGCCCGCGCCCGGCTGTCACGGCGGCTCTCCCGTCGCTGCCGCCCCGAGGAGGTGCCGAGCCGCCCACCCGGCCCGTCCCCCGCCCCGTCCCCCGCCCCGTCCACGCATGTTTCCGCGCCTCCTCTTTGTGTGGAGCAGCGGACTCCGGGGGAGCCGCTCCGCCGCCGCAGCCCGGGGAGAGCGGGGGGTGGTCCCCGCCCGGCCAGCGTGGTACCTCCGGCCGCGGACCCTGCGGGGCGGCGGCGGCGGGGCCCGGGGAGAGCGGGGCTGGCGGCCCTCGGCTGCCCGCGGCCGATCGCCTCCTCCCCGTCGGGGGCGCAGGTATGGAGGGGAGCGCCGCCAGTAGCCGGGAGCGACCCAGCGCCTGGGCAGCCGCCGGCCACCTCCTGCCGGCCACGGCCACGGTTCCCTCCGGGCACGGCTGCCTCCGGGAAGGAGCGGGGCGGCTCTGGGACGGGGAGCGGCAGCGGCACCTGCCAAGCCCGAGGAGCCGCCCGTGGACTGCTCCGCGCCCCCCCGGCACCGCGCCGCATCCCTCGGCATCCCACTCGCATTCCAAGTGCGGGGCCGGACCCTCGCTGCCCTGTCCTCGAGCTCAGCCAGTGGGGCGGGAGCCATGGTCCCGGCCCTGGTCCTTGCTCCTGCCTCGCCGCCTCCCGGTGGCCGCGGCAGCACTGACCCCTGCGGGCTGGGCCGGCTCTGCTCCCCAGAGGGCGTCTGGGAAGTCTGGGAGAGGGTTTTTGTCTCCGTAGTTGGCGTGGGAGCGCTTCAAGAGACGTCATGCGTGAAGGTTCGGGAGAGGTTGACTTTAAAAGGTCCTTTTGGCAGGAAGTTTATTCTCCACCGTGGTGTTAAATATTGAGCTTGCTGCAGGTATGTTCAATTTACAAACCAACAGCCCTGTAATATTAAAAAAGAATAAAAATCAAAACCAAAACCCAGCTAACAAAGAAAAAGTAGAACACAAAAAACTTGCAACTGCCTCTGCAGTTGCTGTCTATAGTTTCTGGAGCACACACCAGTCCACCTCCCTATTTTCACTACTGCAGAGTCCTGTGCAGGGACAAGATGATGCTTATGGCCCCCTTCCAACTCTGCATGTTCTGTAATTCTGTGGCTCTGTGCGATCTATATTCTATGATTTTTCCCTTTCAGGCAGAAAGTTAAGCCCTGATCCCACAAGTGCCTGCCCATTTGCTTAAGTTTGCATGCATGAGTAGTCCTGTTGAAGAACGTGCAAAGTTCTTGTGTAAATTTAACAATATGCAGAAGTGTTTTTCTTATGATCATTAACTTGTTCATATTGCATAAGAGAAGGGCAGAAGGAGATTTCTCAGTTGACAAGCCCTTCTAGGTATGTAGGTAAGTCTGCTTTTAAATACCTGTCCTAAATAAAACCCTGCTATTCCCAAGAAATGCCACTTTCATTTTTGTGTTTGAACTTGGGCAGTGGGGTGTTGGGATCTCTGTATCTGGAAAAACAGTATTCCATGAGCACTGTGAAGATCAGGAGAAGACCCACTATATATGTTCATAAAAATAAAGACTTTTGAATAACTTATGAAATATAATGACTTGCAAAAGCTAAAAAATTTGAGTTCCTAACCTTGTTTGTTGGGCAATATATGAGAATGTCATCCAGACAGCACGGGAAATTTGGAAAATTTACTCATGGCTTTCTAAACACATTTTTCAAACAGTTCTTGAATCCCTGCTGAATAAACAGCAGACGGTTTTCTAGAGAACAGATGGTTCCTTTTCCCCTCTCTTTAGTCTATTTAAATCCATATATCATGCACATTGTGACATAAATTACCCCATAAGTCGGTTAAAGTCATTATATATGTATAAATCACTGATTAATCAAGTGAGAGGGAGGGCTCAGTGAACTCATAACCTGCTTTGAAACCTTCAGTTATGATTTTTAAAGGTTTATATGCCTATACTCACAATCCCAGAGTCGATCAGTTTGGATCAATACTAGCCTTGCTTCTATGTTGTTTATAAGATGTCCAAGTGAATTTCTCTTTTTGAAGATCAGCTGCACATTGGCTGATTGGTCCATGGGGCAAACACAAAATATGCACTCATGTTGAATTGATGCCAGTGTTTAAAGCATGGAGTTGTTAACTTATGGACTTGTCTCCTAACCAGCTATTGCCAACAGCTAGGCACTTGATAAAGCAGCAGTATCAGAACCTGCCATTTGAGATGAAAACCTGGGAGAGGATAGTGAACTATGAAAAAATTGAGGAAATTAGCCAGGGGAGCAGAGGAAGAGTGGGTGGAATGGAGGGGATCTATACTATGAACCAGTATGAGCCCTGAGAAACTCAGGAAAGCAAAACAATTAGAGGGCAAGAATGTATGGCCCAAGCTCTTCTTGGAGCTCCATACTACACAAGACCAGCCCTGGTGCAGTAGTTCAAGTATCAGACCAGCTCACAACTTGCAAGGACTGTGAAACAGTCATCTTTTTTCCAAATCCATTAGGAAACTGAGCTCCTTTTTACTTTGCTCTATAAGAAAAAACACAGGTCAAGCACCACAAAGGAAAACTTGTTGACATAAGCTGTCATCGCACAAACACTTACGGACATGCTTAACTCAGGCATGTAAGTACAGGACCAGGGCATAAAGGCATTTTTATCTATTGCCTGTTTGATGAGCTACCCAGCAGAACTCACTGCAGCCTCTGTGATGCAGTACACCTTCATTAAAATGTTCAGTTTTAGCTTTAATCAAGTATTTTCAGTGAGGTTGTATGAACAAGACACTGAGCACCACAAGGACACCTATATATGAAGTGACCTATATCCATATTCTGGCATATAGGCAATTAGACTGTCCAAAGGACACAGGTTGACATATCTGGTTTCTCCCTAGTTTTTACACAGTTTTGTTCACATTTACTTCCAGGAAGTTGATCATGTAGCAAGAGTCATGATGACTTGTCTGAGATGCTATGACTATCGCTTCCCTATCACTGTTCTTTGTTGATATGTAGGGATGCAATGCCTGCATGTGAGCTTGCAGGGAATGAGTAAAGAGTTAGAGAGGTACAAAGCAACCTCTTCATCTTCCTTGTCATGTAAAGACAAGCCTCCTGGACTCAGTTCTGTGCTCAGAAGGTTTAATGAAAGCACTGAGGTTTAATGCAAGAAACTTGCATTGAAATGAAAATGGAAAGCAACAGCACGTACTCTCTGGGCTACATGGATAGCCCTGAATGCATCTTTCCGTAAAGAAAAGAATCTTACTAAGATTATTGTTCAATAATTATTATCCAATTGGATCTGAGGTCTTTACAGGAAAAATAAGATACAACTCCTTCAGCAGCACTGCACTGCTCTGGTTTGACATGTGCCCACCTGCCCATACACTACTACCCTTGAATGTCTGCAGTCCTCCCAGAGAGTTCTCCACAGGTTCAACATGCCATTAAGACCTTTACTTACTTGTGGATTTTCCACCCAAAAAGAGGAGCAAAGTAGACAATGGAACAAGAATCATTTCCACACAGCATTTTACAGCACTCAGAGGCAGAAGTTTGAGTATGTTACAGCAGTGCATGAATTCACATTTCTCACTTCACTAATGAAGGCTTCACTTAAAACACATTCAGGGATGCTATCATATAAGGATTTGTTCTAGAATCTGTGTTACTACTACACTTTAGACATGTATGTGTCCACCATTAGAATCCATGGTGAAAATGACAAGATCGTAAAAACAAATTTATTCAGATATTCATCAGTTTTATATTTCCTTCAAAAATGTTGACATTTGCTGTAACAATACATTTAGAGTCGCTAAAATAAGACATGCCTGTCAAGACCACTTAATTATGAGAAATATTACATTAAGGCCAAAGTTCAGATATACAATGCAGTGATAACACAAAAAAAAAAACCACTGAAACCAACAAACAAAAATACTTAAGAGGCTCCAAAATAAACTTGAACAGCTGATTAAATGTGTTATTCATTCTATAGCAATAAACACCTTGAGGTCCCCTTAACTGACATGGCACTGAGTGACAACCAATTCTTGGTTTTGTTTGCTCATTAAACAATGAGCAAACATTGAAATACTGCAAACACACTCTTAACAGCCAAGGAAATAATAAGCATCTCTCACTTTCTGAGTTTTTTAATAAAGAAAACATGAAATTAAATATACTTTCTCCACCTAAAAATATAAAATAAAGCTTTCAGGATATTCATTGTAAACTCTAGAGCTAAAATTGGAAACTGCAAAATCTGTATACTTTTATCACAGAAAGAAAAAAAAACTAGTTTCAGCTACTGTTTATTGAACCTAATTTTGTGTATGATGTGGTTTTACAAAATGTCCGTCAATATTTTGACAAGTTACCCCTATGCAAAGAAGAACCAGATGATCCTGTTTTATTTTGCTTATGCTTAACTTCTTCAGCAGAACTTAAATAAGTTTTAATAGTAAAGATAATTGTGTGGCAAGATGTAACAATCTAACTTACCAAGAGGAAACAAAACCAAGCATTCTCTTCAGGACTTCAAGTCATGTTCTCGCAGTTTAGACTGGTACCTTGGAGACCCCGTCAGCAGGGAAAATAGAGGCTGTGAAGAACTGTGGATATTTGGGAAGCGAATTTGAAAAGTTTATCTTTTTCAAAGAATACTACCCAGTGGATAAATGGTCACTTGCCTTAGTAAAACACAACTGAGTAGATCCAGATCAAGCACAGAAAAGAGAAGATTATTGTCTCTGAACTACTATACTTTTTCCTATTACATTAGAATAGCTTCAGAAGTATATCTTTGGGATAAGACAGTGGGCAATGATATGCTAAAACCTTCATGCCCAGGGAGCTGGTGCTATACCTGTTCCAAGGCACTAGATATACTCTGATATTCTTGTAAAAAGCAGTTGTTGTGAAGGCACTTAGTGAAGCATATTTTATTCCAAAGACAGGCTGGCCATGCTGACTGGCAAATGACAAGCGACGCA